TATCAATTCCTTCGGCGTTGTCACTTTGCGGCTCAAACACGAAGAATAAGTGTTTATGGAACAGGTGTTTGGAAGAAAGTACCTAATGGCATCGAGAAAAAAAAAAGCTGGTCGCATTTCGGGGATTTTGGATTTTGTCGATGACGTAAGTTGCGGAGCGGATGGTTTTTATATCATCGATTTTCTTGGAAATAATGTCGTCTATGGAAAAAAGTCATTTCATATGATGTGTTTGAAATTCTGTTATGCGTTTATTTAAGCCAAAAAATGGACGTTATGGTCCACGTTTCATACCTCGAATTTCGGATTTCGATAGAATATCGCCGCCGTATTGTACGTTGACACGGGATCACAATCGTGGGAGAGAAGGGGGACTGCGTCACAAACCTCAAGATGCGACCACCTCCTTTTTTTACTCTATGACCTGATGCCTCTTTTCTTATGGTAATCCTGGTGGCGTTTGGTGTCCTGGAAATGAACTTTGGATAACAATTTTCGATAATTTCAGCGACTGCTTCTATTGAAAAGGCCCTCCTCCCTCCAAAAAGAAAGAGTAAAACAGTAAATCCCCCCAAAAAATGTGATCACATCTTTTTTTTTAACGAAACGGTTCAATCACTCCTCAAAAATTCAATTAACTGCAAGGGTGTGTTAGTTTCACGTATTACAGGCTCATATTTTGATGGATAAATATCACAGAGCATCAAGGTATAATATAACGAGATCCATTCGAATGACATGCTTTATGCTATTACCGCGCCATACGCACCACTAAAAATAAAATTTATTAATTGGATTTACATTTAACGTAAGAGATTGATTACTTCTGGTTTAAATAAATAGTCTCAGTGTTGCGTCTGAGGCAGGGAGAGAAAGCAATCTAGATCGATTCTACGGCATGAAATAAGAATATTAGAAAGTCAGTTGGTTGCGAGAAAAATACGACTCGCCCAGCATGGAACTAACCCTTCTCGCTTGTTTTAGTGATACTTTATGCGCTATATGCGATACGAGAGCGCATATAAATATGTGATAATTCTCAGTGGCCTACACTCATTTGCTTGTTTTCCTCATTTTCCCGCACGAAATACATACAGCATGTGATTCGCAATCTACATTGTGACTGACTGCGTATACGCACACCGTTTTGCTTTTGCAGCTCTTTAGTTTATTGCCGTTCGAACGTAATATCGTTCCTATACTACCCTTCATACTTTAGTATTCCATTTGCTCGTTGTTTTCAATTAATACCCGAATCAAATCAAAATGAAATTAGGCCCTAAAGACGGTTCGGGAAGCACATTTAATTCATTAAATGTCAAGCCTTGTCTTCGCACTTGAATTGTAATTGAACTTTTTCCGACTGAAAATGCATTTTTGAGCTTTTGAACGTGATTTACTGTTCTTCTTGCAAATTATATTTCTAGCTCAGAATAGTATCATCCAAGGAATTTAGGCTGACGCGAGTGAACAAATTTTACGGCAATGCCAAACGTACAATTTTCTGTGACCTATCGTTTGAACTTAGATTCGTAATTCATACTTACAAATGCAGATCCTTCTTTCACATTTTCTTGCCGGCTGCGCTGTTAAACTCAGATCTAACTGATTGAATGCATATTCTCTCATCTTAAAGCGCCTTCACAAATGGCTTACTTAAAAATAAATGAGATAAACTTTATCGAAAGCTCTATGCACTGGAAAAAATGCTACACTACAAAAGTAAACTCCGACTTCCGAAATCCACAGATATACCGTCCGTTCCGGACTCCAAGGCCGAAAGTTCCGGGTGTGGCTCCCGCGTTCCTCCCAGAGCCGGATTAAGGGGGTGGCCACATCGGCCGCGGCCCATGGCGGCAAATCTAGGGGGCGGCAAAAATTTGCAATTTTTTCAAGTGTAGGTACAAACAAGTTGGTTTTTGCAATCGCTAGCGATAGCAATATTCGTCATGGGAACTTTTGCTTCTGGGATATGAAAATTTTAAGGTAGGTACAGTTCGCTTGTAGTATCTTCAGAATTGAAGGGGCTATGTAATTTTGTGTCGACATCTCTTTTTTAACATTTTTAATTTTTTTTCTTTGCATACAAGAAAGCTGTTATTTACCAATTATTTATTTTCGTTGGATTATGTATGGTTTTTGGAAGTTAACGCATTTAACTTTCAGTTTCGTTTTTTCGGCGTAAAGTATGATATTTTTACTCTACGCATATGCCCGAATACGCATCATAACGACGGTGAAACTACCAAACCGTATCTCGTTTGCGGTGTTTAAAAATCTCCGCTCACATTTTATTTTTTTGAAGTAGACCAAATCCATATCATTCCTTGAAATTTTCACAGAATTTTCTCCGCACGAAGAGGAAAAATCAGGGAAATTTTCAAGACTGGACGTTAAGTAGCTTTTCATTTAAAAAATAAAGTATGACAGGAAGTCTGCGACGTCGCAAACCGAGATACGTGGTTTGGTAGTTTCACCGTCGATAAGTGACCTATGTGCTTCCTAAGTTGCCATTTTTTCATTCAAATAGATGTAACCGAAATGTTAGATGTGTACTACCTATACTACTTTCATGTCATTGCTTTATTTATTTATTTACATTTTGCGTAGGTATATATTGTTATTTTTTGCTGAATTTTGGAGAAAATATTGCTTTAAGAACGTGGAATGTAAATTAATTTTATTGAAAAAAGAAAATACCATCATTAATTTGGGCGAACAGAGAAAATATACATCAATATTTGGGTCAACATCTCCCTGATTATATAAAGGATGAATATATTAGTATTTCTGTATCAAAAAACTTAGCTTTTGTCTTCAGAGATACGATGATTCTAGTCCCAGTCAATTTGTTTTATTGAAAAAACAAAAAAACAAAAAATAAATAAAAAAAAAAAAAAAACAACTGAAATGTTAGCATACTATTTTCATGTCTTTCTATTTGTATCAATAGGTACTTTTTGCTTAACTTACGAACGTTGAATGCAAATTAACTTTATTGAAAAAAGAAAATAACGTCATTAATTTGGGGCAACAAGTGGCTGATTATATGAAGGAGGTATATTCCAGTATTTTTGTTTAACATATTAACTCACGAGAAAATGTTCGTACATTTATCATCTAGTATTAATTATTTTTTGATGATTGGTCTAAAACATTCAATACAACCATTAAAAATTATCTCCCATCGCCGGGTATCGAACTCCCGATCACCTATTGCCCGCACCTTATCAAAAATATGGGGCGCCTCAGTCGACTAGGCTATCACAGATAGGCAAAAGGATGGGAAAATATAGCATTTAAAAGACTCGGACGATGGGCGGGACTTATCACAAGAGTTGTCCTTGAGCGATTCGGCGATTCGCGTCTTCGTAGCTTCTGGAGAAATGAGCTAAGCGCCTTTCTCTGTGAGACATTGTTTGCCTATGCTATCATGTGTCTCAAGGTTCATATCAGCAGTCATTTGCCATTGCGGCAGTAAGCTGAGGCAATATTTCTGTATTCATGGAATAAATCAATCAATCGAGTTCCGATTTTGGCTCATATATCCGTAACGGGTCCTCCAGAGCAGTTTTCCACCTTGCACAATAGTTATAATTTCTTTATTTCTATTTGTAAAATTTGAGGTGGGATAATGGCGGCTTCTCAAGAGCAACGAGGTAGGCGATCTTTTGCACCAACGAACAGAAAACTGATGGCGAAAAATAACCAATCAGAACCTCCCAAAAAAAAGAATTTGCCTAAAAACGGAACTTCGTGGATCTGCGCAGATTTACCAGTCAGACACGACATCTCAAGTTGGAAAAAAACTCGCTGAAAGCGAATTTTAGCAATCAACACAACTTGACGTAGAGACATGATTGGCTAAAAAATACAACGGTTTTTGATACATCGGAAAATCAACCAAAAATCGGAGACTGGGCGAAACGCTCAAGGTCGCAGAGGTATAGGGAATCCCATAGCGAAAGCAACGGAACGATTGTAATATCATGGGGAACTCCGTTCCCATGACAAAAAAAAATCGGATTCATAAAAACAAAATTACAAACGAGAAAAGGAGACAAAATCTCTCATTTCCTGAGAGTATAGTAATTTCTAATTTTGTCGTCTTTCAGTGATACAAGAGACAGCACCTTTAATTAGTCGAGTTAAGAGAGAAACCAAACACGCAATTGGCCATGAACCTAGGGGCGACTTAGGGAGAAATGATGACGAGGACTTGAGATGAAAAGGAGAAGCCCTCGGCGCGGCAATCGGCATGTAACACATATTAGCGCCTACAAGACTGCACGAATACTTCACGCATTGCATCAAACACAGTGCGGTCATTGCGGACAGCGTGAAACAGATAGCGCCTACTAGAATGTATGAATACCTCACGCATTGCGGCCAACACAGTGCGATCAGCGTGAAACGCATAGCGCCTACTAGACTGCGTGAATACTTCACGCAGTGCGCCAAACAAGGTGCGGTCAGCGGGAAATTCATAGCGCCTACAAGACTGCGTGAATACTTCACGCATTGCGCCAAACACGGTGCGGTCGGCGCGGCGGCGGAAGTTAAAATCATTCAACCAAATTTTGTGTTTGTTCTTTCATAATTTTTTCGTTCATTTCTTATGAATGGAAGGCCTTGTCCATTAGAGATAGGTTTACGAAACTTGACTTTCGTGCCAAGTTCCGTGACCTTTTGCTAGTAGTGTTGACAGGGCTTTCCCAAAAAATTTGTTCAACACGAGTAAACACCATCGAGTCTCTACAGCACCAAATTGTAATGTAATACCAGTGTAATATCGCCACCTTCCGGCCAAAGTATCACAAGCTCCATATGCGACGTTTAAACATTTCCACCGCCATTTTGTTTCTTTACAGAGAAATTGATGGTTGAGTCTATTTGAAAATTTCACTGAATTTGATCGGGAGCACAAAGAAAATTCAGTGAAATTTTCGGACAGCTTTGTTGAACAATTTTTTTGTAAAAAAATAAAATGGCGGCGGAAATTTTTAAACGTCACATGGCGCTTGTGATACTTTGGCCAGGAGGTGACGATACGTTTAACGGCAGGTTCAAAGTGAAAGGCACCGTTTGTTTATCACCTAAGCTCTCAAAAGCCACGAAGTGAGAAAAAAATGAAGAGGTTAATTTATTAAGTTCGATATGATTTTGACCAAGTTTGACGTGCTCTCTAGTGTAATTGTCCACATAGTCGAACAATTTCGGCTTAATTTGCAGCTTACACGCTAATATTCGTATTGATACAGCGTGATCTGTTTTTCCTCGCGTATGACAATGCTTTTTGCTGGCGGGATGGATGTTCCACGCGTCCGCCTGGTCAGAACCCAGCGGAGCGCCCCAGCAAGGGGCAGCCCTCCTGTGCAGCTTCTGTACCACTGAAAGTTGCCATTTTTGCAAGAAATCCCCAAATTATCTCATGGAAGGCTGTAGAAACTTGGTAAACGCGACGTGAAAAGTAGCAACGTTTGCCTCACCAAATCGCGACGCAAACGTGAGGCGTTCAACGCTTCAACGGTGGATCGTGCGAGTCTTTATTTGAACGTACTTCTGCCAAACGGAACTATGTGCATTATGACGTGAGCCCTGTTGTGCGTATATCCTTATGGGTCTCAGGGCTCATGTCTAAATGCACATAGTGTTGTTTGGCAGAAATACGTCCGTTTGACTCTCGTCTACGGTCAACAGTTGGGCAGTATTTTTCTGAAAGGCACCAGATGACGTCAGCTGTTGCCTTATCTTATTGGACGTTTTATTTTTTTAGAGAGAACGTTTTTACCGATTTTTTTTAAAATTTCATTGAATTTTCGTTAAAATGCAAAGCTGCATGATCCTCTGGACTATTCAAGAGAATCAATATTACCGCTCTCTTACAAAAGAATAATTTTTTCCTGGGAATTTGGCAACAGTCGATGTCACTTGATTCTTTTTAGAGAAACACCGCCTGGTTAACGCTCATCGACAAACAAGCGTTTCTCTCCGCTCTGGTCGTTCGATTTGACCCGTAAAACCGTCTCGGAACGTGAGTGATTGCGAACGTGACCGTTAAATCGTGACGTCATCCTGTTTCTAGCTTCTTGATTGTCCGACGACGAGGAGAGCCACTCACCTTTTCCTGATGAAAAATAGTTCGGAGATCCACAATGGCTGTGCGAGCAATTCAAAACGGCGCCACATTACTGGACGGAAGCAAAACTGTGGTAAACGGACTCAAGTAAATTCGTGGGTGTAGGTAATTAAAGCTCTGTTAGTATTTAACGTATTTGTGTATAATAGCTTTATTTTAATATGGTAAATGCTAATCAGATTTTAATTATCTTCACTTGAGGCCTGTAACCTGTTTGGATCCTAAATCAGATAGACTTGTGGTTTTGACCGTACTTTTTCCGTGAACCATTCAAACGGGTTTCTCAACTTGTAATGGTAGATACTTCGAAGAAATTGGATCACAGTGGTCCATTTTGGTTTTAAAACCAAAATAAAATTAAAAGAGTTGTATTTAATAGAAAATGGCTCAAAAATCATGATGAGTGCACCGGGAAAGTGTGAAATACACTCTTAACTTCGCAATCTCCGTGAAAAATAACTTCCCGTTTCAAAAACGACACTTTGGCGCAGGTGAACATTTTGTAAGAGGAGTCGTCCCATCCAATCCCTGCGCACTTAGGATATGACTCATTTTCCAACATGTCCGATGCTAACCCGCCAAAACACAGATAACAAGGCGGGATTTTATCAACCGACGTGTTTATATTTACATTTTCCATGTGTTGATAAAGACAATGGTGCCTTCTTACGCTTTGTACAAGAAAGTATCAGACATGCTGGATATTGTGTATAGCACCTTATGAAATTGAAGCTCTGATTGGTGGAAAAAGACCTGAGTTGAGGATGCGACCAATGAGAGGCCAAATTTGATGGCTCAATTTGATCATGTAACTGGACCTTTAGGGCGGAAGGTTTGGACGGAACGATTCCTCTTATGAAATGTGCACCTGTGCAGTAGTATCCTTTTTGAAGCTGAATGAAGCTTTAAAAAACGCAGAATTCTTCCGCAGATTGTGAAATTAGGAGTGTGTGGAATTAGGACTTTCTCGATGTGCTCTTCGTGAGTTTTGAGCCATTTTCTGTAAGGAAAAACTATTCTTTCTCCTCTGGCTGAAGTTTACAGCAGGCCCATTGAATACCAAACACGTTCGCTATCAGCAGAGCACTTAAAAAGTGCTCTGCTCACGCATTACAAAATTTTCGCTCTTTTTTTTATCAGACCGTGCAATTTTTGATTATGTTGCCTTTTATACGGTGAGCAGATCGACTCGAAAGAAAGAGCGACCCGAAGGAAGGAAGAATAATTTGATTATAAAAGAATGGCGGAGCGCGCGCAACCTGTAATTCGGGTGGTATTAATTATGACAAGCGCATCGCCCAAAACTCCCGCCTCCCATGCAGTGCTGCCAAATGACACAGAAATAAAACAAAATGCACAAGATAAAAGATATTTGCGTGTACGAATTGGCGTGTGGCGTTTCCCTCACCAAGTCCAGGATCGTCGAGTCCTCCTCCCACATTTAGCTCGGCCCCGAAGCCCGCTCCGCTAAGCCAAACCCACTCGACCGCAAAGGTAACCTTTATCTACGTGTGCGTTTTTTTCTTCAGACGACTGAATTAAAGTTAATTTATCGGATTCAACACGAGCCGGTTCCAGTTGTTTCGGCCGCGACCAGGTGTTGGGTATCGGCTCATTGAGGGGTAAAAAAAGTCGAAAATATGCGAAACGATAATTTAAGTGTTGATAGCTCATTAATCCGCAGCGTGGAGTGCGGGGCGAGGCAATTTCGCCACCTACCACCCTAGCTCACACCCAAACAACCACATTTCATCTTCTTGCACTCGCGGCCTGTCTTGTTCCTCAAATCTGAGATGGATTCGACGTGGACCTGGACCACCATCTGTGGTCTCGGGTTCAGCGCCCTGCTTTGAACTGCAGCTTCGAAATCCCGAAATAGTGTTAGTGTGCAGTTTGCCGTTTGAACTTCTCGAGGGTCTCCTCTAAGAATTCAAGATATTCGCCCTCCAAGAGGCTTTCAGGGGTCCTTCTGGCTTTCTCTGTGCATACAATTCTAGGGATAACCACTCTTGAACCTTCCAAATCTTGGGGAGTTCCGTTGAGAAAAATACACCGTATCCTAAATGAAATTACACGAATGCATTTCAACGTCATAAAATTTTCGCTCACATATTGTATTTTCACTGAGAAACTTTTGGTGCCGTTCTGAAGGCAAATTTTATCAATTATTTATCTTATGTCACGAGAAAGCCGGCGTTACTTTGAATAAAAATCGCGCAGTCTTAATCTTCTTAAAAATTCAACTGTAGGGGCTTATGCACTTGCTTACTAGTCACAAGTTTACTGTTTACGTATGTGCGCCTTATCATATTAGTAATGAGTCAGATGATAACAAAGATTTTGATAACATCATGAAACATTGTAGAAAAGTAGTTTCCATACTGCCATATGGACTATAAGTGAATCAGTATTTATAAGAAGGGCGGAAGTCCACTTTTTCTCGGTTTTCTTCCATTTTTTACGCCCTTTTCACGTGAAATTTGCATTCCTGTGCATCGCGTTTCAACAAGCGGATCACCGCTGTTTCCTGAGGCATCATGGTAATGACAGCAGGAAAGTTAAAAAAATTTAAAAAATCAATTTTGAAAAATAGACTTTAGCCCTTTTTAGAAGCACCGATTCTTATGGAATTTAAATTTTAGCAACACATTGATTACTTATTTCACAAATTTTTGGCAATATTTTTCGTATGACGTCATAAAAAAATCATCAGAAATTGCACTGGCTTTCTTAGTTCGAAACGTGGACGGAGGTATACGTGACTCGGTAGTTTCACCATCTACTTGCCCCTAGCTTTCATCTCTTTGATTACAAACTATTTTCAAAGAAAGGACAGACGTCATTTGGAATTCTGGAACCAATCACGACGATCTGCCATCTGTTTTGATGACGATACGTTTTTGCAGTATCCCATAAACGACGTTGGGCTAGAAACAGAGATCGGGCGATCGATGACCGTATCGTCGACCGAGACGTTCAACGTATCTATTTCCCGCTCTGGAAAAGGGGCTAACAGTATAATTACGCTAACTGTTATTCCGAATCGGTGAGAAAAAACCCCGGCCTGATTAGAGGAAATGAAAAACAACTGAAATGGAGAGAGAGAATTACAGCTAAAGTACCATAACCTGGCAGTGCCGTCGTGTTTCCTCTCCCGGAAAAATCAGTCAAAACCGCATATCTGAATCACATACTATGAAGGGTTATGCGATTTTGACTTAACGTGGCAGAACGAGCGGTGAGAACCAGTAGCCAGGGAGGGGAGGGAAACGCAAGTTTGAAAAAACAGTTTCCGTGCGGCTGGGAAGCCAGCGCGGATGTTTTTATTCAATTACCGAGTATAACTGACCACACACAGTGCATAACTAATTTAATAATAGAAACATCCAATTGTAATCATAACACTCGGAATGGGAGAAATGAGAGCGCCTCTCCTCTCGACTGTCTCTCTGCTTTTTTTCTTGTTTCGTTTTTTGTTCGTCTTCATTGGACTCATCGTCGCTACACCGTTCCATTGGCGAGGCGTGAATGATCGATAATCGATATTTTCCTATTTGAAGCTACGCTAAAAGATCGATTTTTAAGGTGTCCGTTGCGAACACCCAGCTCATCGATACTTTTCCATAGATCTAAATGGCAGATCGATGGATATATCGCATAGCGCGCCACGCCACTGCACCGTTCGGCCCGAGTGCCGAGCATCGGGAAGCAACTGACGGAGGCGATGCAATGTGCGCCAATATCGGAGCCCGGGCAAAACATGAGAGAAACAGAGCTGAAGAAAGAGGATGTTCTTTGTCATTGATTCAATCGATTTTTATTAAATTAGAGGAATATCATTTTTAACGGGGCAAGAAGTTTCGGTAATTCTGCGAGCGTGACCAATCAGATTAAATCCGTTCGATCACGAGTTTCATTAATCAAGAATTACAAATGTCAGGTATTAACGTCATGATTCCTTGCGAGTTTTATTCTCGCGAGCAGTTTTTGCACGGAGTTTTTTTTCTTTCAAGAATTAACAATCTTGTCGAGTGAAACATAAGTAAAATAATTTCTGTGTCTCCATAAATTCGTATTATAGTAAAAACTAAGTGACTTGGAGGCACATAGGGGAAGCTTCTGCTATATTTCGAGAAATGCGTGTTTGGGGTTTTGAAATCACACGGGTCGCTATGGTGAAAAGAGAGTTCAAACTGACTTTTTGATGCTTAAAAATTGAACTTTTGGAGCGAATTTTTCACAGTTCATGCATTGAGACTAGTTATACTTGAAATCATTATTATGTGAATTTGTTCAAAAAATACAATCATGCGCCTTGTCCTCAAAGCCCCTCATTTCTGAAAGTTGGAAAATTCATCGGATCTTCATCGATGCATCTGCCCGTTGTTTCGTCAGCATATATCTTTGATAAGTGAATTGACTTTGAGTGGTTTGAAAATTACAGTGAAAACGAATCAGATCCTCCAAATTAAGTAGCATTTCAGTTTTCAGCTATGCAACATGGATATCAAACACGCTCGCAAAGTTGCATCCGAGTTTGGTCACCAGTGAGCTTGCGTCTTCAGTTTAAGCTACACAAGACGTTAATTTACTGTCGGATTTACATCGCCATGCCTGTCCATTACTGAAGAAATTACATCGCCCCCCACCAAACACTTAGTAACGTTCTCTAAAATGCAGTAGTGCATACCATGTTTCCCTCATTCCTGGATTCATTGGTGATTTGTATGTCATGCGACCAGCAAAAAATATGTGTGTGTCGCAAATTGTCATGAAAAGTTGTGAGAGTTTATGGCATGCAAAGTTGATTTTATGGCACCATCGACCTTTTTCCTCAGGAGACAATATAAGGAAGTGATTGGAGGAAGAAAATCTATACAAGTTACAAACATCAACAAGCGATTCTGTCACCCACGCATAACTGCACTACATTTTGCAATCAGGGACTTCAATCTCTAGCTCACTTTGGAAAAAATGTATCCATGGCTATAAATGTTTTTACGGATGAGCCAAAAATTCTAGTTCCTAATTGCAAAATGTATTCAAACTGACCCATTGAACTAAACACTCATTGAGCATCTTTTGAGAAAAAGAAATATTTGCTC